CCACCACAGATGCCAGATGGGCACATGAAGGTGACCAGTCCTCCAGAGCAGTCAGAGAGCAGAGGGCGCAGGGGCCCTGCCAGGTCCCCCACGCCAGGCCTCTGCCTCCGGACAAGGGATGCATGCCCACCATCAGACTCTCCAGGGGAGGGGGCGGAGATGCAGGGGCGGACCGGCATTTGGTTAGGTCAGTGGTTCTCAACCTTGGCTGCACATTAGAATCACCTGGGAATCTTTTCAAAATCCTGGTTTCTGGGCCTCATCCTCCGGAAATTCTGTTTCTTTGTTACTAATGTTGTGGCCCCACCCCATCACAAAAAACAATTTCCTGAGGATGAGGCCCAGAAATCAGCGTTTTAAAGAGATTCCCAGGTGATTCTAATGTGCAGCCAAGGTTGAGAACCACTGGGCTAGGTGCTGTCAGGTTTCATGCCACACCCCGTGAAGAAAAGAGGAAACCTGTTCTGAACCCAAGGGAGGGGAAGGGCATTTGCCCCCCCCCCCCCCCCCCCCGTTCAGGTTGCCCCAGGCGCTGGGAGCCTGCTCTTCAGGCGTCCAGATTAAATGAGCGCGGAATGGAGTCGTGCCTGCAGCGGTTGCTCTCAGAGCCATGAGACCCTTAGAACTATCCAGGTTGACTCTGGAGGGAAAGGAGCCTCCGTCTCCACGTTTTTTGGTTTTCCTTCCTTTCTCTAATCATTAGTGATGGGACATGGGCTTCATGTGCCATTGAAATTGAGAAAAACTCTGAACCCACAAGAAGTTCAAGCTTGATGATGAGTCTGTGTCCTGGCCGCATGTCGCAGGGACTGTATAACAGTGACTCTGCTCCTGAGCGGAGGGGTACCGGCTCCAGTATGATGGGAGGGGTGGCCCAGGGCTCTTCTTGTCCTAAACCAAAAGCCATTTCCTGTCCTCTGGGACCCACCACAGCCTGTAAGTGCTGAGCAGCAAGATGGCCCACGCTGGTCATGTCTCCCTGGACACAGCAGACCTCACGCCCAGCCAGCCCCTGCTTAGGGTCCGGTGAAATTCCCCATCTCCTCCAGACCGAACCCTCCCCAGGGCTGCAGCCGCCCCTTTCTGGTCGAAGCATCTTTTAAATGAACCCACACAGCCTTCTCATCTGGGGGGCGGGGGGGTGGGGGAGGCAGCTTTCAGGAACAGTCTTAAGAAACCAAAAATGATATCTGTCATCTCGGAGGGGCATCGTTTAGAAGGGGCTTGTGGGGAGGCAGCGCCGCTGGTGGTCTCCGGGGCGGGATGAGAACACGTGCCGCCTGCAGCCGCTCTGCCCCTGGGCCCTCCCCCACCACGTGTAGCCACAGAGAACGTGATGGAGAACACAAGCGAGAGGGCTGGCGCTTTCTGCGAGTTGAAAATATTTCCCTGGCCATCTCTTATTTGGGAAAAATGATAAATTCTGTGATAGAAAAAAAAAGGGTTATTCTAGTGATTACCTTCATCCTCTGTAATGATGATGAATCGACAATTTGGCATTTTTAGAGGCAGTTGACACAGGCCCTTTCAGGGGGGAAAAGAAAGAAAAAAGGCAACCGGTTTTCAACCGGGCCCTGTCAGCCTGAAGACGGATGAGCTGTGGCTGATTAGGGCCATGAATAGATGCTGAGAACTCGGGTGCGTGAGGAGCCAGGGGTGAGACTTATAAATCAAGGCTGAGGTAGGCGTAGAAAATTCTAAGCCATTCCTTCTGCTCGGAAGGTAGGCATGAAGTAGGTTCCCTTTGGGTAAAGGAACACTTAATATCACTCCGTGAGGTGAACTTAGGAGCTTTATACTTTTCTTTACTCACTGTTGAAAAAAGCAATTTAAAAATTCTACTTACTGTGAGAAGTTCTGATATTTAGGGTTAAAAGGAGAGGAGGAAATTCTCTTTCAAAGAATATTCTATTGGTGCTTTTATGTCAGAACTAGAGTCCTGGTATACGACATTCGTACTCTGGGGGACCGGGGGAGGGGATCCCTCAGCCCAGCCTGCGCCCTCTCACAGTCCGGGACCCCTCGGGGAATGTCCGCCTGCCCCCGAGGCAGGAGAGGCTCCTGCCACCGCCACTGCGCTCACCAGCCCTGAGCCCGGCTTCTGGCTGAGCAGCGCTCCCCCTATGGGAGCACACTGACCACCAGGGGGCAGCTCCTGCATTGAGCATCTGCTCCCTGGTGGTCAGTGTGCATCATAGCAACTGGTTGTTCCGCTGTTCAGCCGATTTGCATATTAGCCTTTTGTTATATAGGATTTTGTTAACAACCCTTGAGAAAGGTTATCAAAACCTCGCTGTGTTTTTTGTTTTGTTTTTTTTTAAAAGATCTCACATTTATTACTGAATCAACCTTCTATTTCAGGGGGGGAAAATCAACAGAGCAAAATCACAAGTTCATTAATCTTCCAATTAAAATGCCCCAACTGTCCAGACAGTAGCATCTTTTCAATCATTTAAGGGTGCAGGCAACCCGGATACAGCATAAATATGTGAGCCATCTCTCATGTGTGATTCCTCATAGGCCCAGTTTGGTTCTTCTCCAATGTCTCCTCTTCGAGTTGTACCTGATTTTATTACCAGTTTTCATCCGAATCTATTGGGGATGGGCCGAGTGTGCTCTTGTTTCTTGGCCAGGAACCTCTTGATCCTGAAAGTCTTGTGGGAAGACGTGGTGAAGGAGAAGCGAACGTGCACACCTCGATGGGGGAGAGAGAGAAGGAAGCTCGCTCCGTGTTTTAATTTAGTTTTAAGCAAGAAGCCATTTCCTTCAAAAGAAACTAAAACCTCAGAACACCCCACAGGGAAAGCCCAACCTGAGGGCAAACTCCACTGCAGGAGGCGTTGGGGTCTGGTTCTCAGCTGGGAAGTGCCTTTTCTCGTGCTTTCCCACTGACGGCGGGAGGGTCATTCACGCCCAGTGGAGTGCCTTCCTTCCTCTCCAGAGGCTGCGGTCCTTGTCAGAGGACAGTGGCAGTGCACTGACCCGCCGGGAAGAAAGGACGAAGGACGGACGGCACGGGGGAATTTAGCTGGGGTCCCAGCAATGCCAGCGCCTGTCCTGAGCCAACCCGCCACCCCAGCCAGGGCTATGTCTCCAGGCTGCGGGCCGTGGGAAGGAGGTCTTGGGGTGGGGGCAGGGGGAGACTGCTGCAGGGAGAAGCCCACACAGCTGCAGGCCTTCAGGCCGGGCCACCCTGATATTTGCATAAAGGGCCTTGGAGAGGCTTCCCCACTGGGACAAAGCAGTGAGCGGGTCACCAGGACAGGGCAGGCTTTTCTTCAGAACAGTCCTAGGCTTGGGTAACCTTCCTGCGTGGAGCCCGCAGGTCAGCCCAGCGTCTCTGTAACCCGCACCATCGGGGTCTACCAGCAGGCCCTCCGGATGCAGGCTTGTCTGTGAGCCTGTGTGAGGCCTGGTCTTTCTTGTGTTTTGTTTTAGCCCAGAGGGTGAAGTGCTGCCAGCGTTATGTCTGGAATGTTATTTACTTGGTGCATGGCTGTGGCTTCTCTCTGCAGCGCTGCACATGCCGGAGCCGGGCTCACCGACTGACGGGCCAGGGTGCAGCGGACGCTGTCAGCTCCTGTCCTCAGTTCTCTCCTTCCCTTCCTTCCTCCCCCGCTCCTTCCCTTCCTTGCTTCCTCCCCCCGCTTCCTTCTTTCCTCTCCCCTCCCTCCCTTTCTCCCTTCCTTTTTCCCTATTTTTTTCAGAATCAGTGCTCTGAACTGCTATGGGTGCCCCATGTCCTAGATGCCCCCACTGCACTTTTATTATCTGGAGTTTCTGGTGGATTCTGGCGAGAGCCTGGCAGACGCTTTTTCATCTGCGTGTCTGCCCTGTTATTATTTCACATAAAAGCTGTCTGTTTTGGCACCCGACTCCGTGATTTCAGTTGTGCTCTCTGGGCTGAATGGGTGATGTTGTGCAAGAGAAACGCAGGTGGGGTGTTCTCTCCTGGTGGCCGTGGGGGCGGAGGACAGAGCTGAGCAGTCCTGGCTTGTGTGGAGCCCACATGATGGCTCACCCACCCATGGCTTTTGAAGGAAGAAACCGGTGTGGACGGTTTCTTGATTTGGGAGGTTTCACAACTGTTTTTGTTCAGCTGATGGAGGAGAGGTTTGTTAAAGAGCAAACTCTTCATTAATAAGGCTGTAAACAAGCTGTGGATAATGAGGGCTGCCGCAGGTGGGAGCACAGGGATGCTCTGCTGGCCTCCTCGCTCCAGCCTCCCTCCCTCGCATTTCTTGTGTGCAGTTCTAATCGTGGTGTTTTGAGTTTCAAAACAAAATATGGAAAATGAGATTAGATAAATCTCCCCGGCTGGTGCCAGCCCTGGGGCCGTTTGCACACCTGGGTGGGTTAATTCCTTCCTCTCTCTCTCTCTCTCTCTCTCTGCATGATTTTTTATGCCATGTGAATAAGTAAACATCTAAGATAGGAGATGATACCGCTTACAGTCTTTGCCTTACAGAGACTCCACTTTTATCTGCGTGTCTTGGCAAAGTCGCCCATCATGGCACCTGCTAGTTTGTTAATGCGGTAACAGCCCGTCTGAAAGGGAAACTTTGGGTTCCCTGCTTCCCGGCTTCCCTGCCCTGCATGACTCCCCAGTCTGCTTGGAAGCCGCGGGGTTTGGCTGCAGGGCCTTCTTTGATCATCTCTTGACAGCACGGGCTGCGCGTTCTCACACCTGCCCTTTCTTGTCCAGGTTCCTGAGTAAACGCTCCCATCGCCTCGTAGTGTCTTCAGTGTGAACCTGGGTGCAGGGTACTTACTACAGGCGATGGGTTCCATGGCGGAGACAACCGCTTGGCACCCACGGCCCCTGAACCGCCGCCAGGAGTGTAAACGGCCACTTTGTGTGTGTCTCAGAGCCTCGGAGCTCGGCCCTTCGGTCATGACCGAGCATGCACACGATAACAGCAGGCTTGGGCGGAGGGCCCGCCCGGCAGCCGCCAGGACAGGCTCTAACAAGACTCTGTTTTCTCCCCCATCACCCACAGCCCACACATCGTCTTCCTCTCTCAGAGCACCCTGGCCGGAGGGAGCCACCTCTGTGGGACCCGGCTCTGCCATGAAATTGCTCACGCCTGGTTTGGCCTGGCCATCGGGGCCCGCGACTGGACGGAGGAGTGGCTGAGTGAAGGGTTTGCCACTCACTTGGAAGATGTATTCTGGGCCAAAGCACAGCAGGTAGGTTTACAATGACCCCACACATGTCACTCCCTGGAGTCAAGTTCTGTTCACAGTCACTCCTTCATTCAACAGACACGCACCGAGTGCTCACGGTGCAGTTGGCAGCTGGGAGGGGGCTGTATGATGGAGGGGCAGTCCCTGTACCTGCGGGGACAGAGCCAGAGGAGAGAGAGACGGCATCCTCCTCCCCATGTCAGGGAGGGAGCACTGCGAAGGAAAGGCAGCTAGGAGAGCAGGGACATGTGAGCCAAGACCTGCAGGAAAGGCCGTGCGCCAGCTCCTCAAGCTCCTCTGTGCTGTGGTGGTGGCGACAGTGACTGTGTTTTGTTCAATAGTGAGATTGAAAGTTAAATCAGACGTCAGAATCTCAGATGCCTGCTGGCCAGGAAGGAGTGAAGCGGTTGGCGTTAAAGATTAGGGAGTGGTGGGAACTGGTCCTCAGCCCTAACCACTGTCATGCTGCAGGGAGGGCTCAAGAGAGCCTAGGCGCCTGGTCTTTTTAGAGAAAGTTACAAATTTGGGTTTTTCTGTGAAATTTATTAACTTAAGAAATATGTAAACTGACACACCCAGAGGCCAGACCTGGGCAGCATATTCCCAGGACCACCATTTGAAGAATTGGCCGCCAGTTCCAAGGAGGACATGGCAGCGAATCTACTTCCTGCTTCCTTTCTAGTGTCCAATATTTGGTCCCTTTTCTTCCCCTTCCATTTCCACCCCTTCCATTTCCTAAGTTCCCACGATTGTGCACACCTGTATGCCTTCGTTCAGATTCCTTCTCATGTTGGAATCCCATTTGTTTCTCGCGGACGGGCTCAGGGTCACGTTCTCTGGGTGGCCCGGCCTGATGGCTCTATCTTCTAGGAACTACAGACGCTCGAGTGTTCGTATAGGGTGTCCCAAAATTCACGCAAGATTTGAATTTTGCGTGAGCATTAACAGCAACAACAACAAAAAATAAAAGCCTAATTTTGCTTGGTTTATTGAATCAGAGTCTAATATCTGTTGCCCTTTGATTTCAATCCATTCAATTTGATAAGCATTACCAAGTACCAATGATGGCCAAGAGCAGGGACAATGAAGACCAATGAAGACCACGTCTTTGCATATGTGCCAGCAAAGCCGTGGAGGCCATTTACCCGATGTGCTATTCCATACATAACCCTATACTGTATACTTTATGAATCAATAAAAAATTTACAATTTTTAATTATAAACCTGTGTTTTCTATCAAAATTACTTCTTGTGTGAATTTTGGGACACCCTATATTAACTCACCTCTCTTTCCCCACTTTCTTCTTCTTCCTCCCTTCCTCACAGCAGACTGCGACCTCATTCAGAGCAGGGCTGTGTCTTGCTCAACCTTCCACCCCTGTGGTGCTGGCAGTGTGCACATCTGCGTCCCCTGCCAGAGTCCCAGGAAGAGGGGCCAACAGGGCAGATGAGGGGAAAGTGGCTGCATTCCAAGTCTGACCAGGCTTGGAATCCCAGCTCTGCTGCTCGCCAGCCTCCCTGAGCCTTAGTTTCCCCATCTGTAGAATGGGTATGAGGGTGCTTACCCTGCAGGTTGACTAGCATAATGTGTAAATGAGCCCAGCACAGTGCCTGACACATAGTAGGCGTTCGGCCAAGGCTAAATAGGTTTCATATAAGTGTGCTTCCATGCTGAGGCAGTCATTCAGAGTTGTGCTACTCTTGGTAATTGCGGGTATATTTCAGGCATCAGATGAGGATTTCTCTGTCCTTCTGTCTTCGGCATCCCCAGGGAGCACTCCCCGCCACCCTTCCCCTGCGGGAACTCCTTACTGCCCTGAACGCCTCTCCTCTCCGCCAACACAGCACAAACCTGGCCTGGCTGCAACTCTCAGCTGCACCCCTTCCCTGTGCGCCGGTGCTGATCTGCAGGGAGAATGGAGAGTAGGACACAGCCCTGCTCTGGAAGAGGGCAGAGCCTAGTTGAGGTGATAATAAAAGCACACAGGGGAAGGAAGAAGAAAGTATTTACAAAAGAGAGGTAATCACCACACACTGTGCAGCCCAAAGGTGGGCAGGCCAGGTGAGCAGATCGCGCAGTCCTGTCTCAGGGGGTGACTGCTGTCGCCAGCTCAACAGGAAAGGAGGAGCTGAGGCTGCTCTGTCCCTCCCCTGCCCCTGGCCTGGCGTGAGGGCAGCCCAGCTCAGCCCCTTCCGGTGATGCAGTAACTCCATCCATCTGGGAAAGCACGACCCCCGAGGCAGAGTGGCCAATCTAGCACCGAGTTTGGAAATATTTCCCCAGCACGTCCATCACTCTGACCCCTTCCGTTGAAGGGTGAGTGAGACAGCTGGTGCTGGTCCCTGACAAGTGCCCATAGCAGGCCTTCCCGGCGGGAGAGGGTGCTCAGGGCAGGGCAGGTGGGCCACCTCCCGGGCTCCCAGGCAGCAGTAGGGTCCCCCGGTGAGGAGCGAGTGAGGTCGCACAGGCAAGCGTGGCAGAGTGGGGGGTGTGAAATCCCTGGGCAAGGAGACGGAAGTCCGCCTTCCGCTCCGAGTGGCATTCTGCGGGGACAAGTGAGTTGAGTCGGATGCCAGATTGGACCGCACACTTGTCATCAGCCTGGATAAAGTCTAACTCTCACGGGGGTCTTAAGCAGCCTGCAGCCAGGACAGCACATCACAGACTAGAGGCTGGAACAGACCCGTTTTCTTAGTTTTAGAGGCTGGAAGTCCAAGATCAGGGTGCTGACAGGCCTGACCTCTGCCTGGCTGGTGACGGCCACCTGCTCACGGTGCCGTTGGTGCTACTGTGGAGAGAGCCGTGCTGGTGTCTCTTCCCTTCTCAGAAGGACGCCAGTCCTATGGAACTAGGGCCCCGCCTCCAGGGCCTTCTCATCCTTATCTACCTCTTTAACAGCCCCATTTCCAATACAGTCACATGTGGGGTTAGAGTTCCACTTATGAATTTGGGGGGAGGGAACATAACTCAGTCCATAACAACAGGACATACAAAGTCTGTAGGTCAAGCATGTCAAACTCAAAGGCTAACACGGGCCAAATAACCAAGGTTTAAGTTAATGTGGGCCGCAAAAAAACAAAAGCTTCCATTTTCATAGAAATGTAGGTTTATTTCGATAGAGACATGCTGAATACAGCTGATTGCAGGTGCTGAAATAAATGAGTCATCGTTAACATAAAATAATAGAACATTTTAATAAAAATTAATATTTTTTTCTTGAACATTAACTTACCAGACACTGAATAACTGCACAAATTAATAAGCATAACGCAAATAAACCTATTTTTCTTGTTCTCCAAAAGCGAAATATTTCCTGTTGCACACACCAAACAAGTCAGTCCAAGACGTATGACGTGGCCATCGGCTGCTAGAATATTCGCTGCTAGTATTAGTGGAGAGAAGTGGTGCGCCTGCGCATAAGGCGCGTAAGGGAAATGAATGCAACATGATTATAGTAATCAGTTATTAGCGAATGTTGTAGTTCGTTATTAATAATTATGTATAACAGGATATTGTAACAATTAAGTTAGGAATTTTTTATTAAAACGTTTCTTACATACCGTTATATTGGCTGGGCCGCAAAAATATTTGTTGTGGGCCGCATGCAGCCCCTGGGCTGCAAGTTTGACATGCTTGCTGTAGATCATCTGGCCTCTGCTGACTGTTTGGCACCTGCCCTCTCCGATGCAGCCCCTTCCTCGCTGGACCACGTCCCTGCCGTTCCCTAAACACATCAGGCTCTTTCCAGCCCCCAGAGCCTTCTCTCTTCCTGCCATTCCTGCTTGGGGCCGGACTCCTGCTTTCCCTGGAGACCAGCTCAGGCCCTACCACCCTCCGAGGAAAGCCTCCTACCCCCCTGGTTGGCCAGGAGGCATTTGGCTTCTTCCTTCAGGGGGTGTTCTTATTCCACCCCCCCTTTACCCCCTGCACCCGCCAGACTCCATGGGGTAGGGGCTGTGTCCTGATATCCCCGGGGCCTAGCAGAGACTCTGCAAATGTCTGTTGAATGAACCCTTAGAGACCTTTTATTTCCGGAAATGCGTCCAGGTACTGACCTAGTCCCTCCCTAGGGGAGGTTTTGCTGCCTCCCTTAAGGAGGTACAGGAGTGAAAGGCTGAGGGACCAGCAGGGCAGGTGCAGGCCTCCCCCCGACACAGTGCGCAGGCCTGCACTGTCCTGGTTATAAGCAAACAGAACCATCTGGGTTGCATTAGCAGGCTCCACAGTAAACAGCCCTTAACAAAACTGGGGGCTGGGGACCTTCCCCACCCCGTGCAGAGACACAAAGCAGGAAAGGGCTGAATGGCATCCCAGTGAAAACGGCCCCGAGGGAAGCCTGCTCTCTCCAGGGCAGGGTGGGTTCCTGGACCAGGGGTGCCTCCCGAACAGGCAGCCAGACAGGGAACGGCTGGTTCTTCCTCCAGCGCCTAAGAGGCCCTGGGCTCCTGACCTGTTCGATGGGGCGCAGGGGCAGCAGGAGGCCTCCTTTGCCACCTTCCCTGAAATAAAGCCGCTGCCGCCCAGGCGGCTCTGAGCTTGCGCAAGGGCAACACTGACGGTGTTTTGTGCACGTGTGTTTGTGTCTGTGGCTTAAGCAGCTGGCCCCCCACGAGGCCCAGGAGCAGCAGGAGCTGCGGGCAAGCCTGCGCTGGCGGCGCCTTCAGGATGAGTCGCGGAACTCGCCCGAGCAGCTGCAGGTGCTGAGGTAAGCCCCGCGGATCCCTCCGCCTCCCCCTCCCTCCTCCCCCTCCCCCGCGCTTCCTTCCCCCTCCCCGGCCTCCTTCCCTTCCACACACGTGTAGGCCTTGCATCAAATCTGCTGTGTTTCCTTTTTAATTAAATCGGGCCAGGTTAGTCATCCTCCCCGGCATGTGATCCCCCAGGATGGGATTGTTATGCTTCAAGTGTTTCAGGGTGTGGATTTGGACTTGCCTCTGACATTTTCCTGGTGTCTCTCTTCAGGAAAAAAACGAGCATAAGGCCATTTCCGGGACCAAATTCTTCCTTTGAAGTTCTAATAGTCACTTCACCTGGTGGCTGGGGACTTGGGGAAGGTTGGGTTTGGTAGCCTGGCAGGCAGTAACCCTTTAAAGCCAAAGGGAAAAAGCCCTGTAGGAAATTATTGATTCCTAAGTGTTTAGTGGTAGCAGATGTCTGTGTCAATGGGGGCTTTTGTTTGGGATCCGTCTGGGCGGGCGGCCACGCCTGGAGGGAGCGCTCTCCCAGCTCCTGAGTTCTGTCTGTAGACTGTTGGGGGCTTGTAGGATTACCTCTTGCCTTTTTGCCATTTTTGTCCCTCTCTGCTTTGCTGGTTTTCTTCACTTCTCTGAATAGTTATTTATCTGAAACCTCCAGCCTAGGCCCCAGGAGCACTGCGTTGCTAAGGCAACATAAGCTCTCACCCTGCCCACTCTGGGCGGGCGCCAAGCCTTTGGAATTCTCCGTCAGACAGGTGGGAAGGCAGCCATCCAGGAGTCCCCACTTAGATGGCAGCCCCCAAGCCCGCGTGTTCTCGCTGATTTTAGGTAAACACCCGGCTCCGGCTCCGCAGTGACGACCAAGTGGGAGGGAGCTGTGGAGCCAGCCCAAAGCGGGAGGCTGGCGCTTCCCTTTGCTGTGAACGCCTGCTCGAAGCTCAGGGCTGCCCTCAGCTCCGACTCCTGCATGGTCAGGAGAGCCGAGCCCACCAGCGACCCTCGCCTCTATTCACTGGGCTGGTGGGTGGCTCCACCCACATGGACAGGGCCCAGCCCTCAGGAAGCTTCCCCTTAGGGGGACCCTGCCACGTGCACAGCAGGTTGCAGGTGCTGAGAAGTGGGGCAGAGGGAGCCCAGTGATTTCTAGTGAAGGGTCGGTCGTGCCTCTGGGGGAGGCTCAAAGGCCTGAGGCAGGAAAGGGCGTGGCATGCTGGTGCAGAGGGCAGGGGGGCAGAGGGACAGAGGGAGGTCAGGGAGAGCAGGCAGGAGCGGACCCAGAGCCTTGCCCCAAGGGCCTTGAGCAGGGAAGGCGCCCTGTTGCTGTGCTGACTGCTGGGGGGGGGGGGGGGAGTGTAGGCTGCTCGCGGAGGGAAGGCTGTAGTCTGCACAGGAGCGCCCGGTGGTGGCGTGGGGGGCGCAGGGAGCAGGCCTGTTTGCACACGTCTGCACACGTCCTGGCAGGTCTGGGTGAAAGGACTGTGCAGAAGAGGACGAGAGTGGCTGGCATGATGTCTAGGCTTTTGCCTGAGTGGCTGATGGATAATGAGGGATAGCAGGCACGGCCTCTGAGAGGGGCGGGCTTTGGAGGGAAGGATGAAGATTCCAGCTTCACATGCATTCAGGTGGATGCCCAAGTAGCTGTTCAATATTGAGAACTCGGTGGGTCCACAAGTCAGGAGCTCATTGGAGAGATTCCAACCTTTGGCCTACAAAGACTTTAAAATCTGAGCACCTTGAAATCACCAGGGAGAGAGGAAAGTGAGAGAAGAGGTTGGGAGGAAGGTTGGGGTCAGGGGCAGGTGGTGGGGGCGGGATAGTGTAGAGAAAACTCAGACACCAGAAGCCAGGAAAGAGTGAAGAAGGCGGGAGTGGGTGTGGGATGCTGCTGAGGCCATGTGAAAGGGAGGGAGAGACGTGACCTTTGGACGGGACCACACAGCGATGCTGTGGTCTTGACATGCATGCATTTATTCATGGGTGGGGGAGAGCGGGGCCAGATTGGAGTTGGTAGGAGAGTGAGTGGGTGGTCCGGAAGGGGAGACAGCACGTGGACTTGGTAGGGAAGCTGTGCTTGGAGGGGAAGCTGTGAAGGTCAGAGAGGCTTGCTTGGGGTGGCTGTGCACCCGGGTAACTGTGCCAACCCTGTCACCTCTCCACTCAGCTTCTTCATTCCCCAAGTGCCCGGCTTGCGAACCCTCAGCCTGTGCCCTGGGAGGTCAGCACCGGTGAGGGGACCTCATCTCCGTGGCGCTGTGGCCAGACCAGCTCTGGTGGCCACGGGCTTTGCCTTCTTGTATGGAGCCGGGAGGAAGAATACGCTATATGTATCTGTTTACTGGAAGGCTTACGGTGGCATTTATTTTTCTCTGCCTTCATATTCAGGAATTATGTTTGCCTGAATTTAGGCTAAGAGTCCACCCTTCCATGGACACAGAGAACCTAGAGCAGTGATGGCGAACCTTTTGAGCTCGGCGTGTCAGCATTTTGAAAAACCCTAACTTAACTCTGGTGCTGTGTCACATATAGAAATTTTTTGATATTTGCAACCATAGTAAAACAAAGATTTATATTTTTGATATTTGTCTTATATATTTAAATGCCATTTAACAAAGAAAAATCAACCAAAAAAATGAGTTCGCGTGTCACCTCTGACACATGTGTCATAGGTTCGCCATCACTGCCCTAGAGGTTACTGAAGGGACAGGGGGAACCAGAATTGTAAACATCTGTTCTCAGACTTTGTTTCGTTTCACTGTACAAATAAGAGCTTGGTAAAGAAGTCTCTTAAGCAACACAGGGACCAAAGATGCTGTCTTGTTTTTTCATTTAAGATATCACATGGTCTTGAAATGATGGACCGAGCACAAGGTAGCAGCCTTCATTTCTGTCTTGATGTGCTCCTCCACGCTACCAGGTGCTGAGGGAGCTTCTCCCCACCTCTGCAGCACCTTCCACCCGCCCACCTCCTCCCAACAACACTTCCTCCCCTCGGCGCCTGTGTCACAGGCTCCTTGCTTTCCTTCCGCCTCACTGCCGCGCCTCTCAGGCTCTGGGCTCGCTGGGGTGGCTCGGGCTCAGAAAGACTGAATGAGGGGCAAAGCCAGCACAGCTGTCCTTCCCTGGACCATCTCCCTGCCGTCAAGGAACTCGATGTCACTTTCCTTGTGTGGAAATAAAAATATCCCTGTATCTTGAACTGAGGGAGGACATGAAGGTCAGCATAAAAAAAAAAGTAGCCTTGGACCAAGCATCTTTGTCTTTGTACACATGAGCGCATAGCTATGGGCAGGAGCATGGGAGGGTGAGGGGAGGGGGGGAGAAAGCAACATTGTGTTGGTTAGATACTGGAGTGCTAGCAACGCGAGAAGAGAAAAACTAAAATTCTGTTTGGCGCTGACCTGCTAACTTCAGTCACTGATAGGAACTGGTATCCGTTCCTGCCTTCCACGTACCCAGTGGTGAGCTGTGGGTCTCAGCAGCTGTGTCCTGGGTCGGCGTGGCGGTGAGTTACCTTGTTGCAGGAGTTTCAGGCGCTCCCAGCCTCCTCAGCCTGCCTTGGCTGGGGCGCCTGCACTGTGACTGCAGGCTGTGGAGGCGTGGCCATTTGCTCAGACTTTCAAAATGCCAGGGGTCACATTGCTGACTCTGTGCCTTTTCTCCTCCGTTAATTATTAAAGATGCCTTTCCCGTAGGCAAGACCCCAGCGGCTCTCTGCAGACTCTCCCTCATGCTCCCTCAGCCCTGGCTGGGCTGACCTCATCCTGTCCTGCTCTCCCCTGCCTGGCCGCCACCTCCTCACTCCCTCCGTCGTCACCCCACCCTCAGCCAGGGAGGCATCCTGACTCCGCTGGGGAAGATCGGGAAGTGGGGGCTTCTAAAGGCTCCGCTGCCTGGCTGCCTGTCCCCAGGGCCCGGCTGGACGCTGGCCTCTCTAAGTGCTGTCCGTCGGAGCTCTGACGGGCTGGTGGATGGCAGAGCTATAGTGGCGGGGTCAGAAGAAATCTCTGTTGGTTTTTATTGTGATTTATTATCATGCCCCCTTTTTTCTGGATTCATTGTTAAAGTCACGCTCGTGCTGAGAAAAACGTTAAAATATATCACGTTGAGGAGGCACTCGATGACCAGCCCCCAGTCTGATGCAGCTCCTCCAGCTGCTGCCACCTCCGGCCCTGAAGTCCTAGGGGAAGGAGGCGCCTGCCCTCCCTCCCGAGTGCCTCAGCCCTGCCCACCAAGGTGCCCGTATAGCAGGAGCCCGAGTGTGTCGCTCTGTTATGGCCAAAATGAAGCGTGCGCCCCGAGCTCTGTGGCCCGCACACGCCCGAGCTCTCTGTTCCGTGACGCTGGGCACTGGGACCTGTGGGCGGCCCTGCCAGGGGCCAGTGGGTTGGAACATTCCTATCCCTCTCCCTTCCTCTGTCTCTAAATAAGTAAAAACATGTCCTCAGGGGAGGATTTTTTTAAAAGTCCATGTGTGAACCTTCTCTAATATAATATGCATGACGTTTTCACCTCTAAAGTTTTTCTCAAGAACATGGCAGTCTTTTCCCACCCAGGTGTGGAACCACGTCCATCGTGGCCCTCAGGCCTGCCTCAGGGAGGAGCGCCGCCCTTCACGGCCTCCTGTTGCTGTTACATGCCCACCCCCAGCTCAGGCTCAGGCTCCTCCAGCCTGAGGCCTCAGGGCTCCCCGCAGCCTTCCCTCAGTTGCCACTGGCCCAACTCTCCCTCCCCCTTTGCCTCCTGCCCCACAGGGGAAACAGCCATTGGCCTGCTGGCCCTTTGAGTCTATAAATGCCTTAGCGTCCACACCTCCCCTGACCTCCCAGATGCCCGAGTGCCAGCCTGCTATTAGTTACAAATACAGCTCTAACTCTAGAGGCGAAACTGGAATTTAAATGTATGTCTGTATTTAAAACCCACTGTCCCTGAGGAAGAAGAGAAGGGAAGGAATGGAGGGTCTGTGTACACAAGTGAGGATGCATCACTGTGGACAGAGACTGGGGCCACG